CCAGGCTGGAGTGCAGTGACGTGATCTCAGCTCACTGCAACCTCTGACTCCCTGGTTCAAGCGATTCTCCTGCCTCAGCCTCCCAAGTAGCTGGGACTACAAGCACACGACACCACACCCAGCGAATTTTTGTATTTTTAGTAGAGATGGGGTTTTACCCTGTTGGCCAGGATGGTCTCAATCTCCTGACCTCAGGTGATCTGCCCACCTCAGCCTCCCAAAGTGCTGGGATTACTGCGTGAGCCACTGCACCCGGCCTACAAATCTTTAAGGAGGCCCTAGCGAGAAACAAATAGGCTCAACCATCATCAAAGCTCTGTCTCAAGAGGAAAGGGGGGAAAATAATGGAGACAGTGAATGAGCACAGGGTTCAACCCATCACCTGAACACTGATCTGGTCCTGCTGCAAATGGAAAGTGCCATTTCCCCACTGCACAACCAAGCACTGATGCACTGCTGGCCCCGTGGGCTCCCTGGGACTTGGAGGCCCAAGCCCACACTCCTACACCTCCCACAAACAGCTCTTCCTGTGTTCCCTGCAGTCAGCATCCTTCCTGGAGGGCAAGTGGAGCCTGACCTAGTCCTAGAGGAGGTTGAAACGCACTGGGAGGGTGCCTGCCAGGATGTCAGTACCAGCCTGCAGAGTACAGAGGGGGTTCCAGCTTCTGAAGAAGAGAACAAAGCCGTGGAGAAGATGCCCAGGTGGGGAGTCTGAGAAGATCCTAAAAAATTAGTTAAAGCATGCAGCCCCTTATCTCAAAGCTATACAAAGGCACAGGGCAGGAACCAAGCCTGCTTCCCCCTGCCTTATACCCATCCCTCTCCCACGGGTACACAGCTACCAGGTTCCTATGTGCCACTCCAGAGATGGTCTGGGCATATGCAAGCTCGCATCTCCCTCCGTTTTTTTTCTTTTTGTTTTGTACAGAAGGTAGCACATCACATGTACCTACCTGTACCTTGCTATATTCATTCAACAATATACATTGAGGTCTTTTCACATTCAGGATATAGAGAGCATCTTCATTTTTCAATGCCGCATAGTATGCCATCGTATGGCTGTACCATAATTTATTAAACCTGTTCACTCTTGATGGACATTTAGGTTGTTTCCAAAATTTTATTATCATGAACAATCCTGCAACAGGCTCCCTGCATACAAAAGTACCTTCCAAAACAGGCACTTTTATATGCATGTCTTTGCACATGTGTGAGTATATCCGCAGGAGAGTTCTAGAGGGGAATTGAATTGCTGGGTCAGTGGTCATGGGAATGTGGAATTGTGGTTATGATTTGCAGATCCCCTTCCATAGGGATGTCGCAATCTTTCTTCCTACTAGAGATGCTCGGTGACAGTGGGAGGTCTCGTGTTCTGAAGACCATAACTTACATAGCTAAGATGGGGAAACTGAGGCCCAGAGAGGATCAGAGGCTGACCTACAGTCACCACTAGCACAGTGGCTGGGACAGTCCCCTCATGCAGAGGAGAGGGTTGCTCAGCTGGGGCTCCCCAGGTTGAGCCTCGGTTGGAGGGTCCAGGTCTGAACTCGGGAGTCATGGGACATCCTATGGAAAATGGGGCAGCAGGTAGACTGGGGGGCAGCGTCACGTGGGCTCACCTCCTGCCTCTAACCCCAACTCAGGGAGCTGTCCTGGATTGAAGAGGAGAAAGAAGATGAGGAGGAAGAGGAAGAGGAGGAGGAGGAGGAGGAGCAGGAGGAGGAGGAGGTGACTGAGTAAGTGATTTCCCCACCTGGCTGGGGATGGCCCTGGGGCTGAGGTTGGCTGAACTCCTGGGGTCTGGGCACTCTCTACTGCTCAAGGGAGCTCCTTTCTGTTGTTCTGTGCTGTGCGAGGCTGGGCTTTGACCAGAGAGGCTGGGAGAAACTGGGGTCCCCCTGCTGTGCTCATAATGACCTGGGAATCATATTACCCGCCACTCCACCTCCTTCTACAGACACACACATTACAATGCAGCCTCCAAGAGGGCTGGGACTTTTGTCTGTGGCTTTCACTGCCATGTCCCCAGAGCCTAGAACAGTGCCTGGTACACAGTAGGCACCAAATAAATGTTAGTTGACTGCATGAATGGATGTATGAATGGACATACACAGTGGGCTCCCAATTCTCCCCCGTTATTCACAAACCCAAGGCTGCCTCCCCACCATATGCCTCCGCCGTGGTTGCCTTTGATGACTTCTGGGAATGTCTTGGGTTCTGCTCTACTGCCCAGGAACGGTTGGTCGTCCACCCGTATCCATAGATTGCAACGTTAAACACACAGAAGAGTTGAGTTAAAATCAAAGTTAAAAACGAGATTGGGTAACAGAGGGATGAACAGCAGGCAGCTGGACACACCTGTGCCTGGAGTTAGGCCAGGGAGAGGTGGCGCTGGAGATGTGACATTGGGATTCTGGGCATGTAGGTGGCACTGAAAACTGTAGGGCTCGAGATGCTCAGGGAGTGAGTGTGGATGGAGGGAGGCTCATGGGCAAGACCAGACGCTGGGGAGATGAAGCAAGAAGGACCGAGAAGGAGGAGCCAGTGAGCAGAGAGGAGACAAGAAGAGTGTGGGGCCCAGAAGACAAGTTAGTGTTTCAAGAAGCTCAGCTGGGCGTGGTGGCTCACGTCTGTAATCCCAGCACTCTGGGAGGCCGGGCAGTTGGATCACTTGAAACCAAGTGATCGAGACCAGCCTAGCCAATATAGCAAAACTCTATCTCTACTTAAAAAGAAGAAGAAGAAGAAAAAAAAGGAAGTACTGCCTCAAAAGCAGGTTGTAAAGACTTGAACTTGTTTCCCCAAAGGCAATAGGGAGCCATTGAAGGTTCTTGAGCAGGAGAGTGGCATGATCTGGCAGCTGTGTTGGAGAAAGATTGAGGCAGGGAGAACAGTGAGGAGGCTGTTATGGTGGATCAAGTGGTAGTAAGTTACTCTGTTCCTGCTCCAGTCCCCTGGCATTATGTCCCTGTCTCTCTGCCCACCATGGTACCTTGTGGCCTGCACCCCTTCTCCCTGACCTGTCCCTCTGGCCATGGCCTGAGACAGGATGGCACCATGAGTGTTAGGAGCACAGGTTTGGGCCTCAGAAATGCCAATGCCACTTTGCTTCAGTTAGTGAAATGACTGGGGCAAGTGGTGTACCCGCTCAGAGCTTCTGCCTCCACATCTGTAAAATGGGGGATAGCAAAAGTCTCCTGCAGAGGGGTCATCAGGGCCAGGCCTGGGGTAAGTGCCCCATCAGTGGTCACTGATGTTCTTGTCCCCTAAGAGGATCTCTTTTCGTTCCAGTCAGGAAAAAGTTAAACAGGATTTCAGAGCTGGAAGCCTGTTCAGTGTCATCTGCTTTGAGGCCATAGTTCACATAGACTTACTCAGTTCACATAGACTCTTTCCATGTTTTACCGGAGGCCACACAGCCTCTGCTTGCTTACCTCCAGTGGCAGAGAGTTCACAACCTCTCAAAGACTGTCCATTTCATCCATATGCCTCTCTGACTTGTGAAATTATTTCTTATACCAAAACTAAGCCTGCCTCCCTATAGCTTCTGTCCCTTTCCGACTTGTCCTAATTCTGCCTTGTGGGCCTCCATGCAGTCCCTGTGAGGTGAAGAACTTAGCTGCTGCTGGTTTCGTTAGAGCAGCTTGTCTGCCCTCTGCCCTCTCCCTGCCTCTGTGTGGAGAGCATAGCTATGAGTGGCTCCCTTGCTGAACGCATACACCTAACACCCAGGCCAGAAAAACCCTGTATTTGCCAGTACTCTGGAGCCGAGACACCCTTTCAAGGCCAGTGACCAACTATGCTGACATACAGGCATGCGCACATGTGCACTAACTATACACATGTCCTCAGAATGCAGTACACATGGGCACACACATGCATAGCTGCACTATACATGTATGCACCAGCACACTGACATACATGCTGGGTTATGCACACAGCATGTACAGGCATGCACACACTTATACCCACATACATCCTGCATATATGCACAAGCACAGGCAGCACACTCATACATGTTCATACGTGTGTGCACACGAGTACACATGTACACATGTGCACACATCCACACGACAGCCTTGCACACATGCACATGGATCCGGAGTTCCCTGCAGATGCTGCAGGCATGTACGTCTTTATACAAATGTTCACCCAGAGTTTTCAACTCTGGGAACTTTTGGGCTCCAGGCCCAGGAAGGGACAAGCGAGGGATCGAGTGGGTGGTCACAGCACCAGGGCCAGAGGGTGTGAGGCCCAGGGCAAGCAGAGCTGGGCTGTCACTGACTGGGGAAGGATGCTCTTGGGCAGCTTTGCAGAGGCACAGGCTACTGATGACGCAAGGGTCCCGGTAGCGGGCAGATGGTCGCCTAGCAACCCGGTCTCTGCAGGCAACAGCTCAGCTTTCCCTAGCAACTTCGGCCTTTTGGTCCCGCCTGGCTTCCCTGGGGGCGCTTCTGCAGTTCCTTGCACATTCCCTCAATCTGATTAGAAGCAGGAAGGGTTGGTGGCTCCTCTGCCACTGGAGCCACCCTGGCTTGGGAGCTGGGCTTGTGGCTGGGCCGGTGCTCTCCCAGTTCTCCATGTACATGCATCGACTCGGGCTTGGGATGAACGTCACAGCCCCCAGCTGAACCCCTGCTCGTGGGTATCCTGACTGGCACTTACCGGGAGACCCAAGTAGGTGGCTACCTCTCCCTGAGGCTCCCCTCCTTCCTTCTTTTGGGGCTGGGATTTCAGGTGGAGAGTTTGCTGGAGGTGACAGTGAGGACCTTAACGTGGGGGTACAGCCTGTGGGGTGGCTCAAGGGAGGAGAGGTGGACCGCTAAGCCTTTGAGAGCTGGCTGCCACTGCTGCTCCCTGGATCTTAAACTTGGAAAGCCAGGCAGGCCTCCAGGAAGCCCACCTCAGCCAATCTGTCTGTTCTTCTGCTTGGAAATCCCTGAGACTTGGGAACTTTCTGGAAGTTTATGGCCTGTTGCTTCTGGGCTGCACAAGAGGGTGCCTTGGCAGGCACTGAGCACCCTGTCAAACGGGGGCAATGTGGCTTTGGTATATGGCCCCCAGACAGCCCCTGGCAATGCTGACAGCGCCACCGCTGGGCTGTTTACGTGTTTTGATAGCTGGGGATGTTTGTGCAAAATGTTCTTCAATCCACGTGGGTAATTTCATAACCCTGCAGATCACCGCCTCCTCTGGGATTAACAATAATAACGACAGGAACACTAATAATGGCTGCCATTTGACTTGCGATTTTTTTCTGGGCCACACACTGCTAAGGCAGCCTGAATGGCAGATTCTATCATTCTCTTATCCCATTTCACAGATGAGAGAACTGAGATTTAGAGACGGGGCCCTGCCACTAAGTACAGAGCAGGGATTCTTGGTATTACAGACAAAGAAAGCTTCTCCCAATGTTTAGTGAGGAAGAATACAGAAGAATCACCAGAACAACACCTGGCAGTCTTTTTTTGACCTTTTTTTTTTTTTTATGGGATTCTCATTGGCCCTTCTGATCTTACTTAAATGGGTGAGGCTGCCCAGGCTGGGCAAATCCTACCCATTTGACAGATGAGCAGACAGAGGCAGCCCAAGAGCTTCGAGGTGACTTGCCCAAGGCCAACAGTGGCTTCTGATCTGATACTGGAATAAGCAGGGCTCCAAGAAGCCCGTGGCTGTGCCTGTGGGCAGTTCATTTTCTGAGCCTTTGTGCTGTAGGCAGAGAGCTGAGACGGGCCCCATATCTATTTCAGGAAAGTCATCCAGTCATCCCCTTGCTGCTGGAGACATGTCTTTAACCCATTTGAGAAAGGCTGACGTCTTCTTAGTGTAGAAGGCACAGTCTCCAAAATACTCAGAGGCAGGCGGTGAAACAGAGCATGAAGCACGTGGCGTTGGGGTCAGGGATGCCGTGTCTTATCCAGGCTCACCTTGCACAGGCGGTGTGACCATGGATCCGCCATCAAACCTCTCTGAGCCTCTGTTTTCTCAGCTGGCATGTGAGCAGTAACAGTTTCAATCTGTCAGCGTTATGTGGAATTTGGGTTTTTTTTCCTAGGCTTTTAAAAAAAGTTAATTATTTTTTCTTTTCTTGGTTTTTTTTTTTTTTTTCATAAAGACAGAGTCTCGCTCTGTCACCCAGGCTGGAGTACAGTGGCATGGTCTTGGCTCACTGCAATCTCTGCCTTCTGGGTTCAAGTGCTTTTCCTGCCTCAGCCTCCCAAGTAGCTGGGATTACAGGCATGAGCCACTACGCCTGGCTAATTTTTGTATTTTTAGTAGATACAGGGTTTTGCCATGTTGGCCAGGCTGGTCTTGAACTCCTGACCTCAGGTGCTTTGCCCGCCTTGGCCTTCCAAAGTGCTAGGATTATAGGTGTGAGCCACCGTGCCTGGCCTAATTATTTTTTCAATTGACAAAAATCATATATATTTTGTGTATATATCTTGTTATTTTGAAATACATATATATTATGGAATGGCTAAATCGAGCTAATTAACCTATGCATTCCCTCATATGCTCACCATTTTTTATGGTGAGAACAGTTCAGATCTACTCTTAGCCATTTTTACAAATACAATATATTGCTGTTAACTAGAGTCACATGCTGTATAGCAGAGCTCTCAAATTTAAGCTTCCTATCTAACTGAACCTTTGTATCCTTTAACCAATATTTCCCCAACCCCACCCCTCCCCAACCTGGTAACTACCATTCTATTCTCTCCCTCTGCAAGTTCAA